CAACGAGTGGACACATCCATTTTTGCACGAAGGTACGTTGAAGTTTTAGTAATTATCTATAATAAAAGTATTTTAGTTATTGAATAGCTGATGATATAAAATATAGAAACTATGAAACGTCTTTTCAGGGTTATCAATAGAATATTTCAAGCTACAATAAAACATATAAACCACTACAGTTTGAGAGTGGTTGAATGTTTTATTATAATCTGAAATATTTCTATTGATAACCCTATGTTAGCATAACGATTATTAATGAATTGGTTGTTGTTTAAGTGGCATGTATTTTAATTATTTTATTAAAAAATCAAACTTTACATCATTATCTGAGATCCTTAGTGTTTTTTGAGCATCTTCGAGTCGTTCATTTTGCTTTGGTGCCATGAAAAAATTAATTAATCGCTTGGCGCGTGCCACGAGTACTTCAACAGGCATCAAACCCTTTCCAACAACAAGCTGTAATGTATGGGCTGAACATGGGATTCTTACTATATTACTCATTTTATTAATTGCCGCTTTCATATTAGCCCCATTGTCGGTTGTAATTGAATATACCTTTCCGGTGAGACCCCAGTTTTCAATTACTTCTTCTAATTTTTCTTGGATAACATTGGCAGTGTGAGGGTATCTGACATATGTAAGGGAAAGTAATACTTCGTGGATTTTGAAATCAGAATCTAGCCATGAGCAGGTAACTCCAAGATACCCCTGTCTATTACGAGACGTCCACAAATCGGTGGTTAGTGAACAATATGTTATAGAATCCTTGAGCTTTTTTCGCATAATCTCGGAAGATTTATTATATAATGTATGAATTATTTGCTTTACACGTTTTTCATCAGGTAAACTGAACCTTGGATCTAATTCCTTTATGAACTCACGGAAGTTAGGGCTTACTGCAAGACTAATTGGTTGTGCGTCCTGGATAATAAACTTAACAAGAGCTTTGGTCAGCTTATCATTCTTCGCTTTAGTATATGGATAAGAACCGGATCTTGCAAAAAGATCAATTTTGGTTTGAGCGGGCTAGATAAGAAAAAATTTATTATTAAATAGTTTTAACAAAAACCAATATAGTCAATTCTCTCTATACCAAACCCTTGAGGCTTATTAAAAAAATGAAAAAAGATTCAGGATCTCATTAGTATAGACGAACCTATTCTAAAGTCAATTGATTAATATATTATATTAATAGGATCACCTATACTAAAAGAGATTCATTTAAATTCTAAAGTTCGGTTTAGATGTTTATTTTATCTAGGTTTGGTTTAGAGAGTTAATTGTAATTGCTATGTAAAAAATTAATTTATACATCTTCACGTAATTTAGGTCCGCCTTGCGTAATACCATGGGTGTTTGTTAAATGAGATATTAAATTTGAGGTTGATCCGCCTATTATCCTCAATCGTGTATTACAATTTTTTCCTGAATCATTTAATACAAGACAAACGCCGTATGTAACCTCAATTTTAATATCATCAGATTCTTCTTTAATTTCAATTACTTTTTCTGATTCAAAATATTTCCACACCCAGCTTCGTTTTTTCGATCCACCTCTATGACCTAGTTTTTTTTTTTTATGCACTGGTTTTTCAGGTAATTCATTATTGCTTTCTTCGCTTGTACATGTGTTTTCTAATATGGAGCTTTCAGATCGGTTGGCATACGATTCATCGAATGACTGAACTGACAAAGAGGATTGTAAATCAACATCTTCCATCATAGATATATTAAACAAGAGTCTTAAACTTCAGAAAATAGTGGGACGCAGGATCTAATGTATATATTTCAATAATTATTGCTTTAATTATACTAATTAAAACGATTTATAATTTGAGATGATGAAATAGCTCAAAGGATGGGTATTATTATCTTTATTACATAGAAGATTAATTTTTCGTTTGGATCTAATCGTGAGGCCTTTTATACTTCTTATACATCATTTTAATATTTGCTTTCTATCATTTTACAATTTTTATATACATCATTTTAATATTTGCTTTTCATCATATACCAATTAGGCAAACGATAATCGCTACATATTATTTCATGAAGAACAATACTAATTTTTTATGGTTAGCGTATTTTAGACTGTTAATGACGCGCCTTAGGATACCGACTTAGTATTCTGTGAATTCTGTATAACTTTTTATAGAATATTCAATTATGTACAGAATCAATAAGGTCTGCAACCCTGGCGCATGTCAATGCCCAACAAAAGGCACAGACACAAAGACTTGGCTTAAAACTGTCAGGCATTTTTGTGGCGCAGGCATGAAAGTGCTGGATACGAGTTGGGCACTTTGTGCCTGTATGCATAAAGGTCCTGGCTTAAATTGCCTGGCACTTTCGCGTCTATGGGTATCAGTGCTTGGCACGGGACCTTGAAAATAAAGCTGGCGTTTTCCTAACGCGTCATTAACGTACTATCAATACAACAGCCCTAAAAATGAAGCAAGAACTGCATTTAAAAATTGAAAACCTTTGATATGTAACTTATTTTGAATTAGGCTCTTAATTGTATAATCAATCTTGAATTCAACAAATGCAACAATTGCTTATTAATAATTATTATTGCTTTTTCGTTTTAAATTACTGCATACGATTATAAGTATCTTTGGGGTTCTTATTATAACTGCGAATATAGCTTACTATTCTAACTGATTATTTATAGAAATTGAAATTACAAAAAACTGTAACCGAGCTTTATTAGATTACCCAACTATTCATGATTTGATTATATTGACTTTATGCAATGTAAGTATTCTAAGTTCTGATAAAAAATATGATACATGCAATACGTAAAACTAATATAAACGGAGGCTTTCTTCAATTTTTACTAGCTGCCCTAACATGTTCATTCCGTTGAAAGCATCGAGATGTGCCGAGTTTGCATAATCCTGAACATCACAAATAAAAGCAAAAATTCCGATTATGCAACCAATACCTTCGCTACTATAAGATTATTGCCATTAAAATCATCGCTATTATCGATACTATTAAGTTACAGATGCACTCAAATGAACTAAGCAAAATCTTCATTTTTTTTTTA